ATCTTTTTGGATGGGGGCTGGGGAGGGGTCTCCTCTCATGCTCTATCTATGTTGATGTACCTTCTTTCTCCTAATATAATATATATATCACATGCACTGAAACCACTGATATGGAATTTACTTTCTGCATTTTAGGGGGAAAAAAATCACTTCCTGGTTCAAGTATACGGTTCTTAACTAACCTAGGAAGGAGATGAGGTTAAAGAAGAAACTGATAGCTTTAGCTGGGAAGGAAAGTTGGTGTTCTGGATATTGGATATTGAGTGTATAAACATTTATGAATTTACCATTGACTAAGACCCTCTAAGGGACAAGTTAGAGAGTTGGACGCAAAGCTACTGAAAGGAACCGCTACTAAAGGAACCAAAGAAGGTAAGATTTGGATTATCCTATTGATTAAATATCTCACCGTAAGAATATTGTTTGAATTTTAAGAATAGCAGCCTTCATACTTTAGGATTATAATTATCCACGAGTAAATGTAATCTTAAATAAAAGTCTTAAAATATATTAAAGCAACCATAATTTTACATTATCATCCATCCAAAATTTGTAATAAACCTTCATTCCAAAATTTGCAACCCTCCAAAAATAAATAAACTTGATTCTTTTTAATATGACATGAATTGCAACGTCTTTAATAATTTTTATAATATAACTCAGTTTTCACAATTTGAGTCTCTTACGACTATATCCTTACCTGTCTCCGACGATACTTCCTTAGCAAACTCATGGAAGTCTTTGCATGCTCTGAGGTTCTTGAAAACCAGGATGGGAGATTTACTTGGCAACGAGATGAGCCCTTAAGCAATGGCAACTCTCTCACTATGAACCAGAAGTTGTTTTCGATCTGGAAAATCACATTGCCAAATCCTCTTCTGTTTGAAATGCAGTTTGAAGATGGTGTCGATCACCTACAATGTACCTGTGCGTTGAGCCTTTAATGGTATTCCAACTGCAGCTGAGCTCCTTCTTCAAGTTCATCGTAGCCATTTTCTTTCTCACGTGAGCTGCTTCTTGCCATTTCCCAAATGCAGTACACAAATTAAACAAGGTTAAAGGAGGGTTTTCAGCTGCAGTCTTCCCGACGGTTCTTGTGGATCCAGCAACCACCCAACAAGCATTTCCAGCTCATTTCATCGTCATGGATTGGCATACTATTTATCAACGCAAGGCCATCATCTAGGACGCCACCACAAGAGTATACATCAATCATACAATCATAGCGAAGAATTCTAGATTCTATGAGTACGGTACCAAGCCAGAATGGCTGCGAGAATAAAGGTAACAGCATTTGGCCGAACACTGAACGCCTGCATTTTAATAAAAAGCCTCAAAGATTCAGAAGCATACCCATGATTTCCATAACCAAATATTACAGCAGTCCAAGCAGCAGTATCAAGGTTCGTCTAATAATTTGCAGGTTTGGAAGGCATAATCTAATCTGCCACATTTGGAGTACATTGTCTCACCATTGCACACTCTCCAAATAGGTAAGGAAATCAGTCCCCTTTTATTGCATCGCCAGGAACTTGAGTTCCAAAATCGAAACATGTAAGAGCAGACCAAGCTTGAAAAATGCAGGAATAGGTGTAAGAATTCAATGCCACACCTTTATTCCTGATAGTTTTAAATGTCTTTAAAGCATCACTGAGGTCACCAATCTGGCAACACTCCAAGTACAATCATTGGGCTCTTGTATTTTCTCAAAAGTTTTAAAAGCAGCTTCAAAACTTGCACATTTCACATAGAAATCCACAAGAGGAATTCCTAAAGAAACTGCACTGTCCAACCCAACTTTAGCTCAGTAACCATGAATTTTCATCTCCAAATTCAAATCTTCTAAAGCAGCACATACCTTGAGGACAATCCAAAACACAAACGTGTCAAGTTTGACACCATCTCTGACCATTTTCTCAAAGAGTGATAGACAAGGTCTAACATAGAAGGATCATCAAAGAAACTTAAGAGGCATGTAAAAATGGATTGGTTGGAGATGTTGGATGATGAAAGTCCCACCTCGGCTAATTTAGGGAATGATCATAGCTTTATAATCAAAGAATACTATCTCTATTGGTACGAGACATTTTTTAGAAAGCCCAAAGCAAAGCCATTAGAACTTGTGCTCAAAGTGGACAATATCATACCATCGTGGAGAGTAGTTTTCGTCTATCTAGATATAAATCCTTATGCCTGAATGGTCGAGAAAGCCCAATCTGCGCATATGCAGATATCATTATAAACCATGACACCAAGTCTCTTTCGAGCATTTCATCGAACAGTCTTCGGGCATTTGACAAGCTACCACAATAACGATCATTTTTAAAAGCACAACTCTGAAGGAAACCAGGTGGGTTGCGAACCGTCCTTTGCAGTAGATGGTGAACGAATTTACCATATGGTAAAACCCTCAGATTCCCAGACACTTGGAGAAGGCATTTGAACGTTTTGGCAGCAACAGAAACTCCCGCCCTATCCAGGTCTTCGAGAAATTCTCGAACTTCTTTGAGCTTCCGAAGAAATCAAATGCACATTTTCAAATTGGCTATCTTGAATATTTTCTCTGGAGAAAGGATGCGTTTCAAAGATATCCATGAAGGAATTTGAGTAGATTTTGCTGATTTCAAGGCCGGAATCCTATTATCACGAGCTGCCGCCGACGAAAGTTTGGTGGGTAGGAAACGTTGCGAAGGAAGTATAGAATACAATCAATAATGTCCTCGAACCGAAATCTCACCAAGTAAGAACCAAATTGGTCCACATATTGGTGGAGAAACCCACAAGGCAGTGTGATTAAATTTGTCTTTCCCTGTTATCAAAGCTACTCATGCACAGGCCACCTGCACCTTTCTGAACTGCAAATTTGTTTCGGATTTTTGTGCTTACGAAAATCGGGAGAAAGTGAAAGACTGGAAATTTCATCTTATTCTAGTTCTTTTATGGATTTTGGGCCTTGAATTGTAAGGAGTGGACCGGCCCTAAATGATAGCATGGACCTTGCCATAATGCCTGGGTTGCTTTGCCAAAGTTTCAGAAGTTTTTTCTTTTCAGCCTCGGCTATGGCTTATTCCTGGGTTGATTTTCGGGGTCTTTTCCGCTTCAGTGTCTGTGCATTTGGCTGTTGTTCTGTTTGAGCAGGAATAGGATGGAAAGGTTCTTCTCAGTGCGGCAAATCCAAACTCAATGCGACCCTTCCCACTCAATCATGCTTGTTTCAGGGCCTCCTTCCTGGTACTGCCCCATATCCCTCTCTCGCTTCTTCCTCATTTCGTTGAATTCATTCTAGTTTCCCTCAAAATTTTGCAGCGGAAAGACTTCCTTGCTTTTTCAGTTTGCTTTTAATTTGGGTTTGGAGGGAAATGTTACCTTCATCTGCAACCGCCGCAAATTAGAGAATAAACCTCCATATCTCTCGCAGGCATCTCTCTCCTTGTTTCTGTCTGTGTGTATTGTGGTCATATTGAATAGAATGTTGCATATTTGCTGAATTAGAACCCTTTGGGCCTAATATCCAGGGAGTTGATCCAGCATCCGAAACCTTTCAGCGCATACAAATGAAGTCGGTGGTCATTCCATTCTTTATCCTAATTAAACGACGATCGTCCTTCACTTGCTTTACTTGAACGTGTGAATTCTCTAATTCTGACTTCAGGTATTTGGAGGACAACGAGGGAATTAACAAGTACTTCTCTGCATTTCACCTGCATCGTACACTTCCCGTGGCAGTTGTTATTGACGATTTTGGAGATTTTTTCGAGGAAAGGTCTTCATATTTTCTATCTTTCTAACTTCTATCCACTGGTACTCTGTGCATTACTATGTATTTTTGTAGCTTTTTATTCCCTTTTTCATTTCACCTTCTATTTGTAAGGCGATGTCAGGAAAAATATGCCAATCCTCGCGGAAGAGACCTAGCAATGGTTAGAACACTGGCACTTAGTCATAATGCCATGAGCCTAGCCAAGTGGGTTTGCATCTCTCAGAACTTCCAATGAATAAATTACTCTCCTAGATGACACCCTCTTCTTTGCTGCTTCTAACTTGAAAGATTTTTCAGTCAGTGTAGGCCTTGCCAGCTTGTGTTGTCTGATACACACCACGGAGAGTCCCCAAGGTTGATATTCATTTATAAGAGATGGGTTCCAACCATTTTCACCATTAGAGGTTAGTTTAAGCTGACTGACTGCTCAACCCAAATTCAAAGCAGTTGACCCCATTTTTTGTTATTTGTGTATTGCATGGCAATTTCAGAAAATACAAATGATAAGTGGTTCAAAGTGATTGTGTTGTCTTCTTGATGGTTAACTGATATGACCTTTTGGCCACCTGTATTGAACTATTTCTGGTTTATGTTGAAGGTGATGGGTCTGGATGGCTCATCCTGAGAAGTATTAACAATTGTGGAAATGACTGTTGTTTGAGGACTAAAAGTGCAAAATACTCGATTGCTCTTCAGTTCCTGAGTTTGGAGGAAGTTTCTGAAGACATTACAGAATAATGGATTTCCTTGCAGCTTGAGTACTTCACTTGTAAGTCTGTAGGTCGACCTATTCTTTTTAGGAATTCTACGCTGATATATTAGTATTTGTTTATGAAGAACAATCTTCTGATATTAGTATCATTATTATATAAACTTGGTGTCTGTTCAACTTTTATGATGGGTGATTAATTGTTGCCTCTATAATCTTACTAATCAATCAAGTTTTTCCATTATCTCAATTTTGAAACAGCATGAAATTCTTTCAGTTTTCTCACTAAACGAGCAAGCAGTTTTGAGTATTGTTTATGGTAGATTATTGCCTTTCAGCTCCCTGTATTTATCTGAGAAGAGATGGTCTTATGTTCTTTCAGAATATCTATCAAGTACCGATCAGAATTGAATAACTCTGTTTTCTACTAATCATTTACAAGCACAAGAGAAAGTCAGCAGAAAAGAAAAGAAAAGAAAAGAAAACAACTGAAAGCTGACCCTGGGCTCAACCCGTGTTTACAAATCCTGGTTCCCATTAAGATTTTATAGTAAACTCCTTTTTGATACTCTGGATCACAGAATTCACCACCCCAGATCATCACAAGCCTCCGCTGGAAAGACTCTGCAACAATCGTTAAATCTCAAGAATAATGTATCATATTGTTGCCTATAGATGTTTAAAGTAGTGTTGCTTCACAAGAAATGAGTTGGTGCAAATGGGTTATTTTGTTGAGATCTTACGTCTTGGGGCGGTCATACTGTAGATGCTCTCTATCAACAGGCTCCGAAACACCGCCCCCCCTCTTGGCCTCTGGTTTTAGTTTTACTTCCGGATACATGTCAACATCGCAAGCTTCCCCTCCAACAGTGTCACAAGCCTCAGCTGGAAAAGCTCTGTAGAAACAGACACAGAAGAGCAGCAAACGAAAAGGGTATTGAATCAGACATATTGTAGTCAACTGTTGAAGGGTCTTGTCCAACCGCACTTGCCTATGCTTGTAGGGTGGGACGTTGACGTTGAGTTTGAGAAGTGGGGTGCCTTCGTAGGGACCTCGTAGGCATTGAGAAGGCCTTTGATTTGGTGGTTGGTGGGAAGAGAGAGCATGATGATGGAGATGCTAAGAAAAGAGGTGAAGAATGGCTCAATCTGCTGCGAAGTTGATGCTTGGATGCTTCTTCAGAGTAGGATTCAGACTTAAAAAAGGTTAAACAGATAAAGATGGCAGATATCTCGCGACTGGATTAAGTTCTTGGACCAATTATTTAGAGGAAAAAAGAAAAAACTAGTGGTTGTGAAGGCTTGAATGGATGTATTATTCTTAGACTATTAGTATTGCCCCTTTATCTATCATTTTCTTTTTCATTTTTCTCATATCAAGAACATTCTTGAAGCGAATCCGCTGATATGTTTTTATTCGGTGGTTTATCTTTTTTGTTGAAGAGCTTAAATATCTGAGAATTTTGCGACGATTGGAGCATGAGTAGATCGTTTGCCATAATAATTCTCTCGAGGGAGGGGTATTACTAAAAGAGTGTCCAACAAACATATCACACAATGAAGGCGTTGGTGGGAGGTGCAATGAGGTCGGTCAAAAGTGAGACATTATTTTGGTCAGAGGTTGAGCTGTCCTGTTATGGAGCATGTTTGGTTGGGGGCTTGGGGTCCCACACAGCATCATCTCATCTCTTCTGAGTACACAGGACAAACTCAAACTAATGCCACCCCCGTCCCTCGGCCCTCCCCCCTTTTCGTCTTCTTTAGTTTCCAGAAAGTTAAAGATAAGTCTCTATAGTTTGATAGATTCGAATTGAGAATGTGACTTTACCATTCTTTCTTTTCACTAACTACATCTGCAATCGGACTGAGCCAACTGCTTTAAAAGCTCTGTAATTGCGTCTGCATCACAAGTAGCTCATCGCTGCAGGGCCTGTCCTCGGGCAATTCTGATGCGCACACACCCGCAATTCTCAATGCCAACACCATCTCTTCTTCTTCTGCCACCCCTTCACCTCTCATACTTTTATCTACAGCTTCTCGCGGCTCCACTGATTCGTCGCGCCACCGTCCTACACTTCCCCCACTGCCACTCCCATCCTCTCGGTCCGACAATGCCCGCTCCCTCGGATCTCTACTAGTTAACAGAACGCTCAGTATCACCCCAAAGCTGAAAATGTCGCTCTTGTCAGTATACCTGTTCAAGATGAATGCCACCAAGCCATGGATTAAGCATGCAATTGTGATCAAGTTTCTTACCTAGAAAAGCAAAGGAGTGTAATCATTAATGCAGAGAGAGAAACCGACATTGTAAAAAGTTCAGCTAAATTCAATATCTTATCCACATCGTAAGCTTTAAATGAACTTTGACGGGTAATGCCTATTTGGGCAATCAATGTCTGTCTACATCCAGGAGCATTTCTTTCATTTTCAAAGACCGCAACCACCGAGGATTTTAGAGTACTGAAACCTTGGGGTTTGGGAGGATTTACCCGGAGCTGTTAAGACACTCGGGAGCGGTGTACAAAGAAGCAGGTCTATCAAAATCAGGGAAGAGATTTGTTAACCCACAATCACCCAACTTTGGTTCAAACTCTGCGTCCAACAGCACATTTGCAGGCTTCAAATTGCAGTGAAGAATTCGAGGGTTACATTCAAAATGAAGAAATTGAAGCCCTCTGGCAATCCCAACAGCAATTCGCAGCCGAACTTCCCATTTAAGTTCCAATTGATTCTCTCGCATTTTCCGCATTGCGTCCTCAGGAGACCCAGTGGGCACGAAGTCGTAAACCAAACAGCAGCTGCCCATTTCGTCGACGTAAGCCTTTATGCTCATCATATTCCGATGCTTCAAACCCCCGAGCACCGCCATCTGCTGCTGCAGCATTCGCCGCCGTTCCTCCGCCCTACCGCATTGAATGGGTTCGAGCTTCTTCACCACCGCTGTATGCCCATTGGCCAGAACAGCCCTGTAGCATTTCCCATTTGAGTTCGAACTCAAAGCCAGCCAATGGGTTTCGGTCCAGAACATCCGCATCGATTTATGGGGAAAAAATTAGGGGTCCTTCGAGAAGTGGGGTTCGGTTTAGGTAACCCACAAGGCTGCGGATGAACCAAATAGAGGAAAAAAACGCCAGCGAGTCCGGTGACGACCCCTAAGGCGACGCCGAGAAGAATCCTATGAACCCATTGTTGAGATGGGAAGTTTTAGAGAATGGCACGAAATGCTCGGAAGAGCCAACAAGGGCATCGCTTTGGGCGAAAAAGCGAGGAAACCCAAACACGAACAGCAAGAGAAGAATGTGAATGGCCAAGAATGCAAAGAAGAACCCCATTAAGTTAAGAGGAGCATAAACTTGGGTTCACCGTACAGAGTCACCGCCATTAAATGTGAAGTCTTCACAGCGACTGTACTTGGACCGAGTAAGGTTGTCTGTCGGTTCAAAGGGAGTGTTAAAACAGGATCCGAAGGAGAAATTCAAATTTTGATTCCACATGAGGTTTGACGTATAATACTTTTTGTAGTTTAATAAAAAAAGATGTATTAGGTGTCGGAATTATATTATATTGGGTTTATTACGGAGTCAATAATCACGTAATTTTACCCTTGCAACGTGGGGATGACAGCAGCGTAGGCGTAAGGTTTTGATCGTCTACTTTTGATACTTTAGGTTATCAAATATTATATTTATTATAAGCACAATGTTAGTTGGGTTTGTTGTCTTGTTCTGGGTTGCGTCCACCTTTCCTCTAAGATTGCTTCTTCGTTTTAAATATCTTATTTCCTAATCTCTTCTGTCTTCTCCTCATTGCTTAGCTTTTATATCTCAATATTAACAGTACGTATTCGAATCCTTTACTGAAAAGCATTCCAAAAAAGAGTAAGAAGAAATGGAACGAGGCAAATGCGTCTTTATGAAAATAAAATAATAATAAAGATTTACAAATATAGCAGAAAATGAAATGTGGTCAGATATCAACTCTTATCTGTGTATGGGGCAACCTACGTAAATTCTACTCTCCACTAATTTGGCCGTCGTCATAAAAAGGCACATACACGTTGCTGCTGCTGCTTATGTACACATCTACTCATCTGCCCTGCCTGCTTCTTGTTCTACAGCTTATCCGCGATCCTGCCTAGAGCATCTGCGAGCTTGTTCAGAACCGTCACTAGCCCATCTGCGTGGTATCTTCGCTGCTCCCGGTCCAGCTGGAAGTTCATGTTTTGAGCTTCAAGTTGGGCAGTCAGCAGTTTCCCATTCTTTTCCAGGATGCCAATCAACTCATCCTGCACCATCATACTTTCCTCCTCCCCCTCTTTTGCCATGCGCTTCCGCTTCCGTCCCTCTTGCAAACTCGATCCTATCTCCGGATTTGCTGCTGCCTCTCTCTCATTTGACGTGCCTGTTGCACACCAGATTGGGCTCACAATAAGTTATTATTGTCTCCACTCTTGCCAACAATTTGGGGATTCAGAACACCAACAAAAAAAAAATAAAACAGGCATCCGTCTTCATAATGTTGGACTCTGAAGCTTCCCAAACCCAACTAAACAACACCTCTAACAAGATTTTGATCCCAAGTTTTTGAGCCTTCACAGAACGGACACTCAAACTTTGACCACACAAAACAGATTCGCAGCGCCAGCTGAATTTTGAAACTGCGACGCTCGTAATGGAAAGGAGGGGGAGGGGTAAAAACAATAGGATTCACGAACGTACAGACACAAAAGCTTAGTGGGTACCAAAAAAGGGATTCTGACTGAAAATTTGAAGCGCACAAGATAAAGCATATCAAATCAACAATATAAGAAGATAGTGCTTTATTGACTTCATTATTCATCCGGAATTGAGAAGACAAAAAAGAACTAATCTTTGCAGCTAATGAACATAGGCGTAGGCGTGCAACAGCACCAGAGATATTCTTTCATCCTCTAAATGAAAGGTTGAACCATCAAACGACCACAATGATTATGAACAAATATTTGTGTCTGAAGGAAGGGTTTACAACAGAATCCCAGAATGAATATGTATTCGAATTGTACTTTGAGCTTACCTTGATCAGGACAACCTTGACTAGCAGGTTGGTACAGCTTCTCTGTAAATCAAGGGGAAAGAAATTGAAACTAGAGATAAAATGGAGCTTCAAATCTTCTTCGAAGCCGACCGAACATATAAAATGGTTTTTTAAGAAGGGTGGAAGGAGAAAAGAATAATTGCCACATAAGCTGCAAGAATCTCGAAACAACCAGGAAGAGTTGTCATTTAATTTTTTGAGACCGGATCTTTTGGAGACCACGCAGGTTATCATTATTTGGAGACCACGCAGGTTGAATTAAACAAATAGAGAGAGATTTGAATTTGACCCTTCTTCTCCAATTACCTGATAAAGGTGCCGGAGCAGGAATTTCCTCGTCGAGCGTCGGGACCGGAGCCTCCTTCCCCGGGACCTCCTTGATGGGGCTCTGGCTGGTTTCGTCCTGCTCGAAATCGGAAAACAAGCCGTCGTCCGCTGCCGCAGTTTTAAAACTATCGAAGACGTGCTCCGGCTCGGCGTCATCGGAATTTAGGGCTGACGTGAGAGTGGGGACCGGAGGAGGAGGAGGAGGAGGAGGAGCAGGAGCAGGAGCAGGAGCGAGGGCGAGAGCCAGAGTCGGCGACGGCGAAGGAGCCGAGCCGGATTCCAAGATATCATAAACCTCTCTGTCGAAAAACCCTGGCAATTTCCTCTCGCGCCTCAAATCGTTCCTCGTGACCCAAAAGGATTCAGAGTCATCCCTAATTTGGGACTCCCAGTCCTTGATCTTCTTGAAGTCGCCAGCCAAATTGCTCCATCTCTTGCGGCACTGAACCGGACCCCGATTAACCCCATGCCTCTTACAGTAGGAGGAGACAGAGGCCCACTTGGGCTCGAGCTGGGCGGAACCAAAGGCGAGAGTAGCGGCCCGGCCTCCGCGAACCCTGGTCTCAGCAACCTTCTTGCCCTGTATGAGGACGAGAATCTCCTGGCGGGTCCAACGGGGGAGCCTGGGGGTTTTGCTGCCGTTGTCTCCGCCGTCAGATGAGATGGGGCGGGCGTCAAGGGCATTAGTGACGGCGTCGGAAACGGCGTGAACGGGAGTTGGGCCAAGGGTAAGCTGCTGCAAAGCCATATAAATATAAAGAGGGAAAAGAAAAAGAAAAAGAAAAATGATAAGAATATTGTTAAGAAGAAGAGCACGTGACTTAATGGAGATTGGAGAATGGTTTTGGGAAGGCGTAAACGGGGATGTTTAGGGAGGGTCCGTTACGGCGTTTGGGATTCAGTTTGTCAGATCATCTCTCTCCGTAATATATATATATGTATATATATATATATAGAGAGAGAGAGAGAGAGAGAGAGAGAGGGAGGTAGAAAAGGGGAGCAGAAAGAGAAAGAGAAAGAGAAGGAATTAGGAAGAAGAAGAAGAAGAAGAAGAAGAAGAAGAAGAAGAAGAAGAAGAAGGGAGGGCTTTTTCGGGAGGGGGATTTGGCTTTAATGGCGTTGTGATTGGGTTCTTATTTCAAAATTGGGTTGGTTTTACTTTAAAATTAAAAATATAGAAAAGAAGAGAAAAAGGAATGAATAAATGCGTATGTTAGAATTAATTAAAATTGAATAGCCTTCTTAAGTATGGATGAATGCAAATAAGGCCTTTGTTTTCCATGCTTGCTTACTTTCTTCCAAGAAGATAAAATAAAAAAAAAGGGTTGAACTGAAGGGCACTTCCTCCCCCCTTTCCTTTGTGTATTAGTTTTCCAAGGGCGGCAGGGGGGAGGAGAGGTCCTTTTCTCTCTCTCCCCATCTGGCCCAATTGGGCGTAAATTATTGGGAATATTACGTTGATTAAAACCCTATTAAAACAAAAAGGAAAGGGAAAGGGAAAACAAAAGGCAATGGAGGGGGCATTACATGGTCCTAAATATTTAACCCTAAAAAACCTGGGTGAGCAGAAGAAGCAAAGCACGAGGATGGAGCGAAGGGCTACAACTTGGGGAATCCTGATCCCTAATCCCACTAAATTTAAAATTTGAATAAAATAATGATGGACTGTATTTGTAAGGATTTGAGGAATGTATTAAAAATTGCGAGTTGATTTGGAAGGTTAAAATAATAGTTTTGTTTTATTTTTGTGGTGTAGTGTTTTGGGCTTTTCCGTGATGTGGAGAGTTGGGGGATTGGGGTTTGAAATTGCGTCCTAACATCC